TCAAGGATAAAGGATTGCGGGCAAGCGTTGAAAAAAGTGTGTTGGGAGTATCAGAAATCGTATATTTGGGGCATAAAATCAATGGGAAAGAGGTCAGACCTTTAGACAAAAATATGGCAAATATAACAAGCATGTTGAAGCCTAATAATAAAGTGGAAGTACAAGCTTTCTTGGGAATGGTGAATTATTATCACCGTTTTGTGGAAGGCTTCGCGCAGATAGCGGCGCCGTTGTATAAATTGTTAAAGAAAGGAGAAAGATTTGAATGGAAGATTGAACAGGAGGAGGCTTTTGAGGAGTTGAAATTGAGGATTAGAAGGGAACCAGTACTAGTGTGTTTTGATAACGATGTGCCAGTGATATTGGCCGTTGATGCTTCGAATAGGGGTGTGGGTGGAGCGCTATTACATTGTATAGACGAATTGGAGAGACCTATTTTATTTTTCTCAAGAATCTTTAGAGAGGCCGAGACAAGATATTCAGTGATCGAGCAAGAAGCGCTAGCGGTTATATTTGGATTGACTAAATGTCGGGAATACTTGATCGGACGTCGATTTGTCATATTTACGGATCACAAGCCCTTGGTTCATCTTTTCAGGAAGGACAACAAGGAGCTCATGTTGTCGCCTAGGTTGCAGCGATGGCTATTGCTGGTAGGCAGTTTCGACGTGCAAGTGAAATACCGACGAGGAAGAGAAAATTACTTACCGGATATTCTTTCTAGATGTGGAGCGGGAGAGGATTGCGAAACGAGTAGGTCGAAAGATATGGATGAAGAGGATGAGCACGGGTTGATTAGAGCGATAGTCGGAATATCTAAAGGAGGACCAGTTGCATGGGAACAACTCAAAAATGCTACTTTAAAAGATCGCGAGTTGACGAGAATCAAAGCGTGCATATTGGGTCGGAAGCAATGGCGAGATGGGGACAAAAAGTTCAAGCAAGTGGAAAAAGAGCTAACGATAGTGGACGAGTGTGTGGTACGAGGAAGTCGGTAAGTGGTGCCGTCCAGATTGCGGGAGGCAGTAAAGGCAATGATCCATGCTGGACATCAGGGTATGGAACGAATGAAACAATGGGGGCGGGAATACGTATGGTGGCCTGGCATGAATAAAGAAATCGAGAATATGGTGAGAAGTTGTGAAATGTGTAATTCATGGGCAAGTATGCCTCGAAAGGACAAGAAAAGTATTTGGCCTAGGGCTACTCAACCATGGGAAAGAGTACACTTAGACTTTTTCGACTTCGAAAATAAAATATATCTCCTCGTAGTGGACGCTTACTCAAAATGGGTAGAGTATCAAGAAGTAAAGGGGTTAACAACGCAAGTAGTAATTAAGACGTTAAAAGATCTTTGGGCAAAGTTTGGGGTAGCGGAAATAGTCGTGTCGGATGGAGGACCCACTTTTATAAGTAAACAATTTAAAGTTTTTTGTACTGAAACTGGGGCGAGACACATTTTGGCGCCTCCTTACCACCCAAGCTCAAATGGGCAGGCGGAAAGGATGGTGGCGGTGGTAAAGAGTTGGTTGAGGAAGTCGAAATATGGGGGTGGAGAGATTTGGATAGCGATTGCGTATTATAACAATAGTCGAAAGGGAGAGGAATTGTCCCCAGCAGAAAAGTTTTTGGGCCGTAGAACTCGTATTCAGTTGGATTTCTTAAGACCCAAACCGGCGCAGGAGGAAAATTCAATGGATAATCAGTGTGAATTTGTGAATGGTCAGACCGTATGGGCGAGAATTTTTGGAGGTACCCGAAAATGGGAGTCAGGAATAATTATACAGAACATGGGGCATAAAATGGTGAGAGTAAAATTCGTGGACGGAAAGGAAGGAGTTAGACACGTAGAACAGATACGGAAGAGAGTAGAGTCTGAAATATTGAGATCTAGCCATGATGCGGCGAAGAGAGAGGGATAGATATCTTAGCAATTCTCGAGTTAAAGCACATAGAAAATAATAATACTAATAATGATAATTAACCCAAGATGATAATACCTCCGCAGTTCCGAGATTAAATCGAGAGAGGGATAGATATCTTAGCAATTCTCGAGTTAAAGCACATAGAAAATAATAATACTAATAATGATAATTAACCCAAGATGATAATACCTCCGCAGTTCCGAAATTAAATCAAATTTAATTTAAAAAAAAAAAATCGATAATGATAATTAACCCGAGATAATAATACCTCAGCAATTACGGGATTACATCACATTTATAAAAAAAAACAAAATAAATATCAATGATATCAGTTAGTCAATGATTTCGTGATTCGGGGAATAAAGCGAGTATTTTTTTTTTAAAAAAAGGGGGAACTTAGTTAGAGTGCCAATAAATGATGCACAAAAAGTTAAAAATGTTGGGTATGTTAACCAAAGTAATAAATTAAAGTAAGGGATAATTTTGAGAGATGTCGGGATCGTAAATCAAAAGTTGGAAATAGAACTTGTATATAGTTGGAGAATAGAATAAAAAGGAGTGACAATTGGACTAGGAAACAAATAAAAAGTGGTTCCAAGTTGGACTGAAACACGGAAAAGATTTCGGCAATGACAGTTGGAAGCGAGACACAAAACAAGGAAGGTTCCAATAATTGGGCTTTAAAAGGGGAATTTTATAAATGCAAAATTATAATTTTTCTTTTTGTATAATTGTTAATTTTGTTAAAGAAAATTTTTCCTGTATTTATTCATTTTGGCCCAAAAGAAAAGTGAGTAAAAAACTGTTATTAATTTTTTTATATTATACTTTTTTTTCTTGAAAAAAAGAATGTCGGGTAGACATCGTTGTATCTATTGGGAGAATTTAACCATTAGAATAAGTATTTTCCGAGGATATGTTAATGAGGATGGGCGCCCAATCTCGCCTTCGATTTGCTGAAACATAGTAGACCGATCGCCTCCAATACGCCGGAACAGAGTAGCTAGATCTCCCCCGGTCCAAAGGGGAGTATCAGGGATAATAACGAATAATCGAGAACACTCCGAGTTACCGGAGCCCCGGCACCTCAGCACGCGCCCGAGGAGGAGACGCTCTTGTTTCTTATGTGGTTCGCCTAATCATTTGCGAATGCGGTGCCCCCGTGGCCAACGTAGGCAAGACTTAAATGATATAGGGACGACGAGCCACAGAAGCCGGCCTGGAAGGAGCGACGCACGCCCAGTTAGACCATTTTGCCGCCTTTGACGATAGGGGCATGCCGCACAGATCAACCAACTGCGATGGGGCGACCGGTGGGGATTATTGAGCCGTTTCGAGGAACGGGGCAGTCCCAGGGCCTTTACGCTGAAGAGTGGCCGATGGTTGATTTGTCGGCCTCTGAGATTCGGGAATTGTTGGAGGATGTAATGGGACCAGAATAAATTTTACAAATTTTGTAATAATAAAACAATTTTTTTTAAAATATCATTTTCCTTAAAAGATTTTCGGGAATAATTAAAATATTTTACATCATATATTTTTTTTTATTTATATTAACATATGTAGAGAATAATAAATAATTACATTTTGATTTTATGTACAAAACCCCCTTGTTTATCTTTGTTAAACAACAATTTTAATTTTTTTTTGTATGTTCAAGGGTTTTCATTTAATGGGGGCGTGTTATAAATAGTTTTATTATTTTTTTTGTATGAGTCATGAAATATTTTTTTGTTTGAAATTTTATTTTTAATATTTTTTTTTAGTTTCGCGCAGTCATCTTGAACGTCATTATATAAATGTTTTTAATATTTATTAAGTAAAAAAAAATAAATAATAATTTAATATTTATAAAAAAAAAATAATCTTATATAAACTAAAAAAAAAGTGGAAATTCATATTTTAATCAATTATATTTTTTTTATATTTATTGTTTTAAAGAAAAATAAAACCAATATATTCAAAAAAAAAAAGGGGGTAAAAAAAAAATATATACTGTTAAGTTAAACATTTCTGTACGGAGAAATTTGAAAGGTAACACGCTGGAAGTCCGGGCAAAAGCGGGCCAAAGGCCCGCCCAAAGGGGTCTGGGGGCGAAGCCCCAGTAATTTTTTAATCCCCCCCCTTAGGAACATATGGGAGACGTGTGTCTTGCTAAAAGAATAATGGTTTTCTTGAAATTTATTTCTAGCTCGACTTTCGAGCTCACCAATTTCAACAAATGAATAAGATTCAAGGTTTCCTCTAGGTCATTGGTAATGATTACCACATCGTCGGCGTAAGATATAATCCTGTTCCCTAGATGGTACACATTATTCGGAGATAAGTTGAGTTCCAGCAGGTTAGCGGCACCTAAAGTATCTTTTAAAATTTTATTCATTAGTAAATGGTGTTAATACTAAGCTCTGTAATTTTTGCTGAACTTTCCAGCAAATTTGGGACCAAATAAAACACAATTCTTGCAAAATGCACCATTAATGGTATGAGAAAATGCAAGCCATGTCCACCTTGATAACCAAACATATTGGAACCTTAATTTTTTTGTTGTCGTGTCCCTAATAAATGGGAAAGTTATATCTGGTTGATATATATTTTCCAAAATCTCCAGTTTTTTTTGAGGAGTTAAATCATTCTTTAGGAAATTATATATATCCCACGGTTGTCCTAAAAGGCATTATTAAAATTTTATTTTTAAATGGTTGTTTTATCAATAAAAATCTGAAAAAAACTTTGTACTAACTATATTATATTTAAAAAGGTCACATAGAGAAGATCTGGCATAAATGGTGTTTGAAAACTGGCTGGCCACCACCCTTTAACCTTTTATCTTTGTACCTTACATAATTTTTATTACCAACATTCATTAATGCATATATAAAAGCATTTAATGATAATAGACAGGCATTATCTGGCCAAAATTAATACACTACATTCAAACACACATATTGAAATGAAAATGAACATATTATTTAATAAGCAATTGTTATGATCATTAATAAAAATTCCACACTATTAATATCTATCAAATTTAAATTCAATATTCTTATAATATTCACTAACTGCAAGTTATGCATAGCTTTTAGTGTTTATAATTTAAAATAGGTATTATTTTTTAATTTTAGCTGCCATGAAAGTCTGTTTTATTGCCTTCTTTACAATATCTAGATTTTTAAAATAAATTTAGACAATCATTATTATAACATACAACATTTCCTTGGATTTTTCTTCTATGGGATGACGGGGATGAGAATTTTATTCGTTCTTTTACGATAATTCTTTTTACCCCTCCCCTCCTCCTTCAGGCAAATTCCAACCCATTAAGACTAAGAGTGATGAATTGTCTTTTTTATTCAATGATTGATGAATAATATAAGTTCTCTTTTCTTTGCTCAATGTGGTTTCGTTTTTGAAGATGATGTTGTAATTTCCTTGCTCGTAGTTTGCCGTAAATAACCTGAAAAAAAAGTGTAAACTGAAATTATAAAATAGAATTTACTGTTGTTGGTGAGGAAGATGGTTTAGCGATGGTGAAGAAGTTCTCTTTTCTTTGCTCAATGTGGTTTCGCTTTTGAGGATGATGTTGTAATTTCCTTGCTCGTAGTTTGCCATAAATAACCTGAAAAAAAAACGTGTAAATTGAAATTATAAAATAGAATTTATTGTTGTTGGTGAGGAAGATGGTTTAGCCATGGTGAAGAAGTTCTCTTTTCTTTGCTCAATGTGGTTTCGTTTTTAAAGATGATGTTGTAATTTCCTTGCTCGTAGTTTGCCGTAAATAACCTGAAATAAAACGTGTAAATTGAAATTATAAAATAGAATTTACTGTTGTTGGTGAGGAATATGGTTTAGCGATGGTGAAGAAGTTCTCTTTTCTTTGCTCAAGGTGGTTTCGTTTTTGAAGATGATGTAAAGTTGGTGATTTGATGGTGAATAACAAAGTTGGTGACTTTTTTAAATTTCTTACAAATTATGAATTTAAGATTTCATTATATACGATATTTTGTGTGAATGTTTTATCATTTTTTAAAATTTTTCCTTGTAATTCTGATGGCAAAATCATAATTTTCATATTATTTTGAGATTTACATCAAGTAAGAGCCACATATAGTTGTCCATGGGCAAAGACGGGCTCAGGGAGGAATAAGCCTACATGATTAAAAGTTTGTCCTTGACTTTTATTTATTGTAATCACAAAAGCGGGAATTATAGGAAACTGTCATCTTTTTAAAGTAAATGGTAACTGAGAGTAACTTGGAGCTAGATCTATTCGTGGGAGAAAAACTCGAAATCTAACCCATCTCAAACCTTAGAAAATGATGTAATTTTATATTTTCAACTACTCATTAAAATCTGCACCAGGGGGAATTTTTAGCATAATAAATATATCATGTAAAAAATATCTATCTTTCTTAGGCCAAATAGAATTTAAAAAAATTGCCTGTAGTTTGCAAAAATAAATTCCAAAAAAAACAAACAATTGATGAATAAAATAGCATAAATATATAGCTTAGCTATCTCTAGGGGTGCATCGAAAGTACTATTTGGAAGCTGATCCAATTCAATATTGAAATTATTAAATTAATAATAGCTGATTACTGATCTATAGTCTGTAAACATTTTAGGTTTTAAATTTTAATACATATATCTACTCATCTCATATACTTTTTAATAGTATAACATCTATAATTTAATTATACAATAACATAAGTCCTTTAAATATATTGTAATGATCATTTATAGTTTATTATAAAATATTTTTAATGATAAATCACTTATTTATATAATATTAATCTATATACATAATAAGTAATAAACAATTTTATCGGATTGGATAAATTTTTTTATATAATTGGCAGATAATATTTTTAAAAAGACGAAATATCTGTTCAATCTGTTAAAGATATTGGTAGATCCCTAGATATTTATATTTTATAAACATGTAATATCAAAAACAGGCCCTTGAAAACACTAATATCAGATCCAATCGACCTATAAAAATCAGTTTAGCCAGAGGGATGTTTATAATAAAAAATCTTAAGGGTGGCATTATCTTGTACTCTGATTAAATTGGTTTGAACAAATCTTGCTAAAATATTGACCATCCAGACTGAACAATATTTTTATATAATTTCCTGTTGAGCCTGATATAATTTAATTTTAAGTTGCATGTATTTTATACGTAAGAAAATAATTATCTTGAAAAAATAATAATTGAATAAAATAGATTTACTTTTTGAGAAGTTAAGTTCATTTTCCCAGTATAGATATACTTGAGTAATGTTTTAAATGCTTGATTTGGGGCATCTTTTAATTCTAGTTCATTACAATCTGGCAAAGATTTTTTCATTCCACCATATAAAAGGGCTCTATTTTTTAAACACTAAATTATATAGGTTACAGATAAATTAAGGGAATAACCTAAAGTATTCGCTCTTTGAAGCTAGTATAAATTTGTGTGCATGAAATCTTTTACCATCCACAATGAAAACTACATCTGAATATTCTTCATTAAGATTTTGTTTTCTTTCCATTATTTTGTAACCTATAAAAAAAACTTTTTATATATGTGTATCAAAATTGTAAAAATTTTTTTTACCTTGTTTGGTTTTCTTTCCATTATTTTGTAACCTATAATTTCCTGTTGAGCCTTTGAAAAAAATAATAATTGAATATAATAGATTTACTTTTTGAGAAGTTAAGTTCATTTTCCCAGTATAGATATACTTGAGTAATGTTTTAAATGCTTACGTGATAACGTGATAACGTGATAAAAGCGTTTTCGCCCTCTGGTTGTGGATACAACAGAGCTACGCTAGGTTTTCCTCAAAAATCCATCAAACTGGATAGTTAATTAAGGGGAGAAAAAATGAGGAGCCCTTCACACGTTTGTGGGCAAGCCGCACGTACTTGTACGCGCAACAGTCCGAGAACTGTTGCTTAAACGTTTATAGGCTAATAGACAAAAAGAAATGGGCAAAACAAAAGCCTATACCCAAGAACTGCAAAAATAATTTAATTACTTTAAGGGTGGGTGGTGGCTAAGTTTAAGTTTAACATCATTAATGTAAGCCTTGACAAAAACAAGTCAGTAATAGGTTTATGACTAAAGAAGAAGTAAGATTGAGAAAAGAAAAGTAGACAAGGAGAAGAGGGGATAAAAAGATATAGTAAAGTAACCTGATTTTGGAGAAGTTTATGGGAGATTTAAATAATTTGATTTGATTTTAAGCAGTTTCTTTATTGATCTCTTATTCTTATTTAGTCTTAGAAACTGTTTAGTGTTTAAGTTCATATCCATGATGTCTTTCATTGCCCTATAGTACCATAATCTTTTAAACTTTCCATAGGATTTGCCGTTGAAGGAGTAAAGCCAATTTATGGCATCAAGGACTAAGCTGTTATTGGTATGATTCCTCAGAATATGCGCGAAGAAGGTTTTACGCTTTTTCTTTATAGTTACATGTACCGGAGTGTGTTTAGATCTTCTCCAAAGGTTGTCGTTCGAAATGATGTTGGGGTAAAAGACGCCATTGATTATTCTTAAGCATTATTTAACAAACGTTTGCAATCTCTTTGTCTCCGTCTTAGTTATCTCCCATGTATCACCCCCGTAAAGGAGGATTGGAATGATAGAAGAGTTGAAAATTCTTAGCCTAGTGAACACCGATATCTCCCTAGTTCTCCATAGCTTAAAATATTTGTAGAAAGCAGCTCTAGCATTCTGAATATGGAATCTCAGTTCATCTTTATAACTACCTTTATTGTCGATGTTCACTCCAAGGTATTTATAGGAAGACACAACTTTGACAACTTTTCCTCCACCTAACCAATCACCCAGAGGGGGAGCATAAGACGATGGCATGATTACAGTCTTATCGAAGTTAATTTCTAATCAAACCTTAAGACTAAAAGTGTTTAGTATCAAGACCAAATTGTTAGCCTCCTCCATATTTTTTGAAATCAAGACCAAGTCATCAGCATAACTAATCGCCCTGTTTTCCAAAAACCACGGCTGATTGGATCCAAGTTCTAGAAGATTGGCTGCCCCTAATGTATCAGTAATTACTCTATTCATTACAATATTGAACAGTAGTGGAGAGGCGACACAGCCTTGCTTAACTCCTTTTTTTGTCCTGAAAGGAGGTGAAACTTTATTTAAGATTTTAAAAAAAGCCATGAGGTTACTATAATGCATTTCTAAAATTTTGATAATATTAGCTTCTGTACCGCATCTCGCTAGGATAGCCCACAAGGTTTCATGAGGGATGCTGTCGAAAGCGCGTTTAAAATCAATGAATATAAAATAAAAAGGTAATTTATATTTTTCACACTTTTGTATAATAATCTTCAGCGCCAAGATTGGTTCGTTTATATTTCGGTTTGGGCGATATGCACAAATGTATTTGGATAAAAGGTTAGGGGAGGATGCTAAGATTCGGTTTTTTAACAGGATCATAAAGACTTTTGAAACTATGGAGGTAAGGGCAATCGCTCGATAATCTTTGAATTTAGTAGGGTTAATTTTAGGGAAATTATAAAAGAAAGTTAAGTTCCAATCTCCAGGCATTTTCCCTGTATGCCAAATTTTATTAAACAACCCCAACAAAAGCTGGGAGACCTCTGACGGGGCAGCTTTTAGGTGTTCTCCCAATATGTTGTCGAGACCTGGGTATTTATTGTTTCTAAGCCTATTAATGGCTTTAGTTATTTCTGCCACAGTAAAGTTTGCGTCAGGAGGGTCTATGCTGTGACTAGAGGACGGGAATAAGGATGGCCTCCTGGAATCAAAGATTTTCATATAATAATCCAACCAAAGGGCGATCTGTTCATCTGGGTCTGTAATCAGGAAATTATTGTCTAGTTTGATACACGGGAGTGGTTTAAACACTTTAGAGCTACAGAAGTGTTTAAACTTTTTATAAACATCAAAGGTCCTGTTGTCCTTCATGTCTTCAGATGCTTTTTTTGCAATGTAGATCCTTCTATCTCTCCTAATAAGCCTATGAATCGTAGTCCAAAGATTACCATCCCGACTTACACTTGACTTTAGTTCCGCTATCATCAGAATGGTGTCTTCGGATAGCCACTCATGTCTCTGGAAGGACCTGTTAATAACTCGGGAGATCATTGCAAGCTCCAAATAAAATATTTTTAAAGGACAACCAACATTCTTCCGTAGATTCTGATTCCTATGCACCATGATTTAACGCCATCATAGCTCTTAAGTTTTGGACTAAAAGGAGCTTAACTTCTGAACACTGTAGATTCCTTGCTTTTATTATCCAGGAAGGAGGACTAGGTTGATTTGAGATGGCTGGTCGTCTAGAGTTGCCCCATAAATTTCTTATATTGATACTTCCTCTGACTAGCTTATGATCAGAAATATTAATGTGTAGCAAGGCTCTGACATCGGTAAACCAGCTATGAATGTTGGAAATAAAGAAATCGATTTGAGAGGTGATATTATTTCTCCTATAGGTTAATGTGTTTCTTTCACTATGGAGGAAAAAGGTATTTCAATTTTAAGGTTTAGGCTCTTACACAGATCCAAAAGCTTCCTGCTATCCTCACCATTTGGCTGTGGGATGGCTGCATTTCCAATAACTCCATCAGTTATAAAGGACTCCTCTTTCCCAATTTTAATATTTAAATCGTCCAAGATTATCAGGTTGCGGCCCCTAGGAAGTGAGCAGACAATGTTTTCAAGATCGTCTAGAAAGGAGAGCCTATCACTTCTGTGAGGAGGGGCGTAGACGTTGATTAGGATCGTTCGTTTAAACCCGGTGTTTAGATACAGCAAGCCACATCTTTCGGAAATGGGTAAAAATTTATCTACAAATTTGTGTACTCTCTTGCTAATCAGAAAGGCGATCCCTGACCAGCTATTTAAAGTAGTGCCCGAACTGTATAATATGAAATTACTAAAGTTGGCCATATTATTATCCTTAGAGTGAGTTTCTTGTATCGCAATTATATCCATTTTCTCTTCCGCCATCAGTCTAAGAAGAATCGTTAGCTTGCTTTTAAGCCATTAATATTAAGCGAAGATAAAAGTAAATTTCCTTTTAAACCAATTTGACGATTTGGGGCATATGGAAGTGATTTGTGAATGAATGATTTCGTTTTCACATTGATTACCATTGATCAAATTTGCTATAATCATTTTGATTGGACAAATAATATTTAAAAGAAAACTATTGGCTAAATTTGATTGACATTTTTTGAGGATTATATATATAGATATGCTAGTGCTACCTACCTTTATCATTATTTCCTTCAATTTCTATTTGTACATTTTTTTCATGCTCAGACCTATTTAAATTTTGTATATCTTCTGTTCTAAAGAAAAATGAAAAATATAAAATTAGATATTTATTAATTAAATTATATACCGTTTGATTTCAATATCTTTGTCTTTGACTAAAAATTTCTCCATTTTTTATATATATTTTTGAATAATGTTAATGTACTCACAAGGAAGGAAATTTAAAAAAAATTTATTTATAAAAAATAAGTTTTATGTTGGAAAATTGATATTCAAATATTTGTAAAATTTTGATTTAAGGGGGGGGGGCGGGGGGGGGGTGAGTAAAATTTTTATTAGCTTAAAATGATATTTATGAAAACAGTCAAATTTGCGATGGGGGGGGAATTTCCCCCTTTCCCCCCATTGGTTACACGCCTGGCCTAAACAGACAATTACATCATTGTTTTTTTAGGTTTTCTAATAGAAATATACAATATAATAATAATGGCTATTTACTTTAAATTCAATATTTTGATAATCTTGCAAATTAATTTTGATGCAAAAAGGTTTCTGTTAAATATTATAAATGATAATCCTTTTGAAACAACTTTTCATTAATTTTTTAAATTTTAGCGGCCATTTTTTTGAAGCTCTCGTTTTTGAGGATGTTATTGGATGTTTTTATTTTGAACTTGGCGATTTAGTAGTTATACGGAATAAGAGCCCAGGGGCGTCGCTAGCCTTTACATTCTCAGGGGGCTCAACTAAAAAATTTTTTGGGGGCGTTTGCTAGCCTCCTTTACCCGATCTTCGGTCGGGTATTATATATATAATACTTTTTTAAAATTTGTTAACTCTAAACAATTATTCTGAATTTCAAATTTTGTCATTTATTATATTTTGCATACAAAATAAACTAACATATAAATAATTAAAACAATACAAGACATATCAAAAAATAAAATTTTTTATACAAAATTTATTTATTACAGTATAAAATATTTTCGATGGTTGATATAAAAAAAATTTGCGTCTAAAGAATTACAAGTGATAAAAAAGGTTAATTAATTCATACATATGCCTCAATTGATAATGGTTTCTTGCTTTGACAAAAGGTCATGAAGCTAATATAACTCTCTGTTACCATTTTAGACAATGTTTTATAGAATGGACTAATAAGAAAAAATTTATAGGCCTTACCAAATTAACAATTCTTGAAGAAAAGAATATAAACGACCAATCCAAATCATAAAACTATATGGTAGTGAGAGCTTCCTTTTAGATGACATGATGGAAGCTAGATAAGTAATCGAGAAAATTATTGTGAGATATTAAATTTCTAAAAGATTATCTTCTATTTTTAATGATATATAGACTACACACAAATAATAGATGTTGGTTAATTTACAGTCATAGCCATGACACTCTCTATGGTAACCCATATCAGAATTTATTGTGTTAGAATTGATGAAAATAAAAACACTAAAAATCTTTAGAAGAAATTATGCAAATATATTGAAGGCTTGAGTTATTTACACGGCAAGGATGACATATTAGAACTGAAACATTTTGTAACTATAAAATAAGAATTAGAATGATATCATGAAAGCAATTAAAATTTTATAATTATTGTCGCACATCTCTAGTTGGTATATTATATCTTAAAATAATAGTAGTTTGTAATAATGTCTAAAATTTATTCGTATTAAAATTTTAACTCCAAACTGTTTTTCAAAGAAGAAAAAAATAGCTTTCCTAAAAACACGTAAAAAAAGAGAAGAAAAGATATCTAATTTATTACATCCATTGTGGGATGAATAATAAGATGTTTAATTATAATAATATTTTAAATAAATAGATGGCGTTAAAGAAATGAATGTAAATTGTTACTTATATTTATTATCAAAAGCATTAATTAGTAAAATTTTAAAAATATTAACTTATATTATATAACTGTCAAATACGTCTGCAAAAGTGGCATTTTACGTAATATTTTGTAAATAATTATATATAATTGAGGGTTATAAACTATATATGTACTTACTTTTTATAAATAAATCTCTTATACTTATTTGGATTTGGACCTAGAGACATGATAATTACGTACGTGATATATAGCGCTTTTGCCCTCTAACGTTGAAGATTCAACAGAGCTACGCTAGGTTTTCCTCATTTCCATCTAATTGGAACAATTTAATTTGGGTATAAAAATAAAAATATGAGGAGCCCTCCACACGTTTGTGGGCAAGCCGCACGTACAAGTAGGCACAACATTTCAAAAAATGTTGATTAAACCTATATAGGCTTTAATTTAGAAGGAGTGGGACAAAGAAAAAGCCTATACCCGAGAACTACAATATAATTTAATTACTTTAAAGGTGGGTGATGGCTGATTTTAAGCTTAATTTCTTTAATGTAAGTTATATCTGTAAATAAATATGATTAAAATAAAATAATATTTACCACCGGATGAACCGAACTTAAATAATTAAAATTAAAAATCGAGACATGATAATTAAATTTAAAAATAAATAATATAGTTGATTAGTGATGTTAAACTCGGCTAATTACAATTAAATTTGTTAATTTTCAAATAATAAATGATTATATTAATTTTAATAAAAGTCAATTAAGATTCAACTGCTAATGCTAAATTAATATTTAGTGAGTGATATTGATATATTTTTAACACAGAATTTGATAGCAAGCTGACATAGTGAAAATATAATTTACACTATATTAATCTAATCTAATAATTAAAATAGTATTCATTTAATAAAAATTTAGATTGTCTTATTAATTTTTAAATAATAAAATTAAATCTATGTATTACTCAATAGAATTATAAAAGAAATTGTTCAGGGAGCAATTAAAAAAATTGATTTTAGTATAAGGGGACATTAAGGAGCATTAAAAAAAAATTGTTAGCTTCAGGGGGTATTCAAATTTTTCAGGGAACTTGAGCCCCTGCGCGCCCCCTTCTAGCGACGCCACTGTAAGAGCCATCACCATAGCCAAATTAATTATATTTTTTTAAAAAAAAATTAAAAATCTTATTTTAAAATAATTTTTCATAGTTGAACTTGTACTCCCAATTTCATTTTATCAAATTTTTTTTTTAAAATTATATTAATTTAAAAGTTTATTAAATCGTGAAATTGATATATTTTATAATAATTAAGAAAATAATTGTCATATGGCTGTTAAATGTGACAGGGCACGTGATATGTGATATGTTATCACAATATTCAATTCGAGTATAAACAATAATGTAATAAAAAAAAAATGGGCCAAGATTTGTTATCCAATGCAGCTGAAATTTTAAAAGGTATTATATTGCACAGGTTATGCTTAGTTTATATTTTAATAAGATCGCCTATACTTTGCACCCATAAAACCAAGATTTACAAATAATAAAATTCATTTATTTTCAATTGATAATGAATTAATTTATGAGAGGTAAATAAAAAAAATGAATCCTTGTATTTTATGTTTTTTAAAGTTTTAATAACGATTTTGGTCCCTTGAATCTTGCACAATTGTACAAATATTGTCATATCGTAAAAGAAAAATTAAAAGTATGTTTATATTAAATTTAAAATAAATTATAGATTGTTTTTAGAGATCCAAAATAATTATACATTATACAAATTCATCATTAGAAAAGTTAGACAATGCTGCATACCTTGCTGGATCTTATTCTGTATGTTTATTTACAAAAGAATTAGAACTATATGTTCTAAATTAAATATATTCTACAACCTTTATAATACTTACTATATTTAATTATTAAATTGTTATTACTCATTAATAAAATATGAATTTTATTATATCAATCACATAACTAGATTATATATTTGAATAAGACAGCAAATGAAGCATTTTCAATATTTAACAATTTAGATGTTCAATTTATACCATTCAGGTATTATAATAACAATGAAATTTTCTAAATTATTTTTTAGAGATGCATCTCTGATGCCTACACAATTTACATTAACCCTAAAAAATGTTTTTGAAGGAGTTCAAAAAGTATTAAAAATTTTTAAATTAAATTTATAGCTGTAAAAAAATAGGCTCTGTCACTAGGTTTTCTCAATTTTCATGATTTTGATATTAATGCCTATGAATATTATGAAGTATTTTATTTTAAATTAAATATTATTACTCTTTTATTTTAGAAGGTAGAAAATGGAGATATGAATTGGATTATTCCTGGCAGAATATTAGCATTTTGTGGACCTGAATCCTTGCCATCAAATTTTATTAAAACTACCTTTTTTTCTTCTAAGAATTTAAAAGGTTTAGTATTAAATTATGATGTAAATAAAATATGTATTATCAGACACATTACGAATTTGTTGTACAGGGTTCTATGTCCAACTCCTCACTCATTTGGGTTTATAAAATTGACCATTTTTAATGCTAGAATCACTTACTAATATAATAATTGTATTATTAGCAATTTTTTTGACCTTGAATGTTGTGTTGTTAATTGACCAGTTCAAAAATTTGACTAAAAACTTTAGATACTAAATTAGTCAACTAATACTAAAATTATTATTTTATTTATATTAATTTTTATACAAAATATTAGATTTGATGCCAGCCTACTGCTAAAAATAAACAAAAAGAAATATAATAAAAAACGAAATTATATGCAATTGACTAAAGTTTTTAGTCAATAATCATTTTCCTTGATTTGGAAGAAGTCGACTAATTGACAAAAATACCTGAATGCATAAAACTTATATACCATATTTTTTTGACTAAAATAAAAAGGCATTTTCAGAACGATTATTCCAAATATATTAGAGGGTTTTTTTTTCAGGATTTAACCTGGTAAAGGTGCTACAACATTTATTGAAATTGAAGATAATTTTTTTTAATTTAACCCATGTAAATTAACCTAAAACATCCTTTTTCTCACTCATAATAAAATTGACTACAAGATTTTATACCCACTTTTCTAAAAATCATCTTGCAGTTTTCAAAAAAAAAGTTTTAGTATATAATAAAATTTAAAAAAATAGATTTATAGTTTAAGGCTAAACTGCTATACTAAAAATTAATCTAAGCGGACATAGAACTCTACTATAAATAAATAGTGAAGCAACATATTTTATATAGCCTATCTTTATTACATATAGATCAGCCTAGTCTAAAACATACTGTATAGACTTCTAAAAGGTTTTTTTTATTGACCCGTATAGTTTTGGGTACCCTCAAAAATATCTGCACAAATGGCCAGACCTGTAATTTTTATGGTGTTAAATACCATTTTTGAAGGTAGTGTGTTGTTGTTACTTGGTAAAAAAAATAGTGAACTACTGCTATCCTTTCTAAATAATGATGAATTAACTAATTTTTACCAATAAAAAAATAGATATAAAAATATGACTAAAAATGATAAATATATGCTTTATTTATTATCATTCCTAAGTCTATATCTGTGATCACAAGGTATAATCTTTGTCTTACTAAATAATCGCTCAACACTAGTACTTGAGAGCAAATAGGTAGCAAATTTTATAACCATATTTTTAATATAAGAAAAATTATCAATAATATTTATTTGAGTATTTTTAGATTTAAAAATAATATCTATTGCAATTAGGCTTTATCATCCAATAGGTTTGAGAAACTAATTTTTTAAAAGTAGCATGTTTATTATAAGAAAAGAATTTTTTTTTTCTCTTTAGCTTTCACCTTTTCTGGTGGTAAGCTCCTTCAACATCTCTCTCCACTTTATGTTATTCATACAATCTCTTTTATCTAATTTATACTTTTTTATATTGGCTCTAACTTTATGGCCCCATTAAAGTTTTGGCCTTCCTCTTTTACACATCAGTCATTGAAGAAAAACCTGAAAGTTTTTATGCTCCTTACCAGGATTGAAACTGCGTCCTTCTGTTTCCAAGCATACATCTAACCTTTTAGGCCACAAAAATACCTCCTTAAAATCAACCAAATATAAGAAATCTTTTGTTTTTGAATTAAAGTAAATTTATCATTGAATATATCAACATCATTTTAGATTTATATTCTTATAATATTTGATTCACTATTAAAATTAAAAAATAATAGTGATAAATATAAATATATGAAATAAAATTATTCTGTATAATATGATATATTATTCAACAATCTGCGATTGTGCGGAATGGAATGTAGGATACATATGAAGAATCTAATAGTAAAGACTTTGATTTCTTGAAAATTGGCCAAAATTCTTCCCATCTTGGTAGCAGGAGATAATCTATTAATCAGATTTACAAATGAGTTATTATCAACCAAGGAAATTGGCTTTACATCAGCGACGAAGTGTCCTGAAGCAAGGAAAGCATTGCTTCTTTTTATGCTATGTTGAAATATTTGATATTATTCATACCAAGTTTAAAAAAAGAGTACTATTTTTACCGTTACTAATTTACTACCTTAAAAAAATTAATATTGTTTTTTACTAGGTTATTATTTTACTACCTTATATTTAATATTATTTTTACTACGTTAAAAAGATTAATACTATTTTATTTTTATTACGTTAAAAAATTGACATTATTTTTACTAAGTTATAAAAAATATACATGCGGGAGTATATAAAATTGCTTATTTTTTTAATAAATAAAAAAATTATGCGATTGTCTAATTTTACGTTTAGAAATGAGTACTAGGGAAGCAAATAAAAAATTATTATTTTAAAAAATAAAGAAAAGAAGTTTTTAAAATTTTTTTTAAAAACATTAATTTAAAATGTCTAATAATTGCAATTATGTTGTTGAAAATTTATTAAAAATATCATTTAGCTCAAGAAATTTTGATTTGATGAAAGAAATTGATCATTAAAAAGGAAGGTTAAAGCCAATTTCACAAAACTTGAATAAAATATTAAACTCGCATTAGTAATTTTTCTATAGATAATGAGTGACGAGTCACTGTTTCTGAATTTTCTAATTCCTTATATTGTTGGTTATGCCTCTTATTCTCAAAGGAAAGACGTGTTTGAAATGATAAAGGATTTTAGGATATGAATGATTTTTCGAACAGTTAAACGGCATGAACAACCGTTTATAATGATTAATTAAAAAAAAAATTAAAAATAGAATTGTATGATAGATTCGTACACAAAATATTAAAAGAAATTTTACTTAAAAACAAAGATTAATTCTGTTTATTATAAATCTTAATATATTGTATGGTTTATGAAAAAATATTATTCAATTGCTTCCCTAGTAGTAAACTAGACGCTTCGTTATTGCTTTACATTATAAAATTGATTATCAGCTAATTTTGAGAAACATCTATCCCGGATCTAGATTAATCTATTTAGTTTGAGTTATTGATTAATTGAATTTAGCTTCTTCTAACCAAAATTAGATGCATCTAAATTATTAAGATAAATTTAGTTATAAAAGTATTTAATTGCTATATTTAACATTTTAGGCATCAATATGAAATTATATTTTCGATATTTTGTTCATTTGATTTAATAAGCTAATTATATAAAAAGAAACACCAAACCCAGGTGCCCAAAACATAAATTGCAATCATCATCCTCCAAGTTTTTTTATCCCGTACTTCAATTCCCATGGCGTCAGACTTGTTGTTAGACTAAATGAACCAGACAAGTACGATGCTAATGATTTTGTGTCTAATGGGATACTGCATAAAGATCTCTACTTCCCCGATGGTGCAATTCCATCTGAATCAATTATCAAACGTTTTTTACATTTATGTCGTTTAAATGACGAAAATCAGCTTAATTTAGGTAGATAACTAATTATTATCTTGTTACAATATATGTGACCTTTTTTAGATCAATCCATAAGTAAATCACTAACACAAACAACAAATAATTTTAGAAGTGGGGGAGCCATTGCCGTACATTGTAAAGGTAATTTTTATAGCGTTATTGACCCTTTTTTGAATATCAAAATAGATCTTATCGTCCATTTTATAAAATTTTTGATTATTACCATCAATTTATCTAAAATCTTTTCTGCGTTTTTCTTAGTTTTAATTTGCCTAATTTTTGAAATAATCAAACCCTTTTTATGAATCCTACATATGGTTAGGATTCCAAATTTTATATTTTTTAATTTTAAAAAACTTTATTACTGAAATTGGATTAGCTATATTTTTGACCTTTAAAAAAATTATTTTATTAATTTTTTTTCTAAGTTTGGCATAAAAATAAAATACATTAAATAATTAAATTTAAAGCATTTCTATGTACCCTGACTGAATTTGTCTATACTTCACGACATTTTTAAAAATAATAGAACAATTTAAGATAAATATCATTTCAATTTTTTTTTCATTGTCTGAATATAAAAGGATTATTTTTATTTGTATAAGGATTACGTTAGATTGTGAACATTTTTATTCATTTTCAATAATTTTTTTAAAAAATTTTAGCATTTACATTAGAGAATTTGCACGTTATGTAAATTATATAATATATAAAAATTATTTTTTAATTCTTATAATAGCTGGTCTAGGAAGAACTGGTACATTAATCGCATGTTATTTAATGAGCCGATTTAAATTCACTGCAGCTGAAGCAATCAGTTGGATTCGCATATGTCGTCCTGGCTCTATACTCGGCCATCAACAAAATTTTTTAGAGAGGTTTTGATTAGGAAACGATTTATTTTGTATTGCTCAACATATTTTTTTAGCGGGGAATTTTTATTACATTAACATATTTATGGATTTCTAACGTTTTAAGATCAAATATATTATACTGCGCATTATTTTAAGTTTCTAAGTGAATTTTATTTATTAATTTTAACCAAGAGCATGCCCATAATTTGAGCCAAAATTTTTGGTCACTTTCAGTGGTTAAAATAAAGTTGTATTTTAAAATAAACATGAAAAGAATGCAATCCTTCCTCTGGAGTTACTACGAAAAAAACGTCAATAAAAACCAGGATGATGGCTCAGCAAAAACACCTTTATCTCCATCTCCCCTCTCTCCTTCGGCTCATAGTCATCCCAAATCTTATTTTTATTCTCCACTTAAATGCTTTAAACATGAAAAAAGTCAATCTTCTTCTAGGGAGTATACAGATGAAAATAATCATAATAACCATCTTTGTGGCGTTCACATATCCACGTCAAGTGGGATCAAATCAAAAAGTGCTTCTGTTAGCCCTGTTGTTTTGCGTAATTTGTCGCGTAAAATCAACCTTTTTAAATTTGACGGCCCTGAAAAAGGAAATCCCACTCCGTTAAGCTCGACTTCCGATGCTATTTTATATAACCATGATATGGTAAATTGTTACTAATATATATAATAAATTTAAAATGTGTCTATCCTTTGGATTTTATTTATTTTTATTTTATATTATAATAGAATGCTCCATTTATATTTCGAAATTAATTACTAATTATACCATATTTTGATTTTGTAACTAAAGTCAAATATTTATTATTTTTTAATAAATGTTGCTTTACTTTTTTTCAACTTAAGGATGAATATATAGAACCTAAATATGCTGTTTATTCCCATAATCAAAATAAAAAAATGGATCAAAAGCTAAACACTTCTCATTCGTCTAGGTAAAGTAAATATTTATATAATTTATCTATATAATGCATAGCAGAGACCTGCTGGCTCGGACCAAACTTGGCCCTGGTATACGGGCTGACCTTATTAATGATTTTCCCTATAAACCCGGCCGACTATCATATAATAAAAGAAATATAATATAATTAAAAATATGAACATTCATTCACTTTTCATATTTTTAATTTACATTTCAAGACTATTTATATATTATCTAACGTTAATTAATTTAATAGACTAATTTATAATTTTTAGAAAGATAGAAATAGTTATTTAAATAAATATAAAAAATTCCCAAATCCAACTAATATTACATTTACAGGTAATTTTTTAAAATATATTATTTAATTTTATGAATGATTAGGGAAATAACTTACGATATAACCAGCTACATCATTTTAATTTGTTCCTATATACTTTACTAAGGTAAATAAATTACAAATATAACATTGTAAAATAAAATTTTCTCTGAAAAAGAACACAAATGTTCCTTTTCTTTGGTATTAAATGGAAAATAATTTTTTTTTGGAATAAAGAAAATAATTTTGTGTTAGATATTAATTAATTTCATATTAATGAAAAACAAACAGTAAAATGCTGAATTGATTAAATTTCCAGGCCGAAATCCGGGCCCTGCAATTGGTAACTCTGCTCTGATACATAGTGTTATTTTATATTATGATTAATGAAAAACATTTTAGCAATCAATTACAAAATTTAGAAATTGATAGCAGTGATATTAATAAAAATTACAAGAGAAATAATATTTTTATAAATGGAGGCCAATTAATGAATGTTATTAAGCATAGAAGGGCAAACAATGCTCACTATGATTTCAGACCATCTGTTAATAGATATTCTTTAACTTGACCATTCATTTTCCTGAAGTTTATTTTACTACTTTTTTTAATGTTTATTCTGACTTGATTAAATGTAATTAGCATGTTAAATTATTATATGTGATGTCAGATCAATGTACAACCATATAATCTATACCAAGTTTAATCCTATTAGATGCTTATTTATATAAACTATGCCTATTCAAAAACGAATCGAATTATCTATTAAATTTTATTCGATTAAAATAATTCCTTTTTTTATAAATATTATAAAATAATTGAAACGAAAATATTTTAACAGATTTTTTTATTGCATATTTAATTTTTAATAGATAAATTAATTATAATAATGTAAAGATAAAGAACATGCGATCAAGTTATTAACGAAATTAATATGCTTATTAATTAATATTGTAAAGTGTTGTTAACGGCTCGTTTTGAGCCGATTTTTAAAAACGGCTAACTCAATATTATACCCAGAAAAATTACACAAGCCTGAAGATTTTGCTCATAAGAGGAACAAAGGTCTAGACATATTAACGAAATCTCTAGGCTTAGGCAATATTTTTCTGGCGAAAATATTGAGTTAGCCGTTTTGAAAATCAGCTCAAAATAAGCCGCTCAACAACACTAACAATGTGAAGCCAATAAGACAAAGAGTTTTTCTTATTTCTTCTTTATAAGACATGCGATTTTTGTCAGCAAATTATTTACAGGTGAGAAGAGCCTTTCGCAAGCAGCTAATACACCTATTTGTTTAAAAAACAATGTCTAGTCTATAGTTTTTTTAGTTATCATTATCAGCTTTTTAAAATAAAACTTTATTTATTTAAATGGGAAAATGTAAAATATCTGTTATAAATTTCAAATTTATTCGTTAGTTTGGATATATCAATAATATTATAATCAGCAGATATTAATTTTAAATATTATATTTTAAAATTAGGATCAAGTATTGTGGTTATTGCTTCATCGCCAGTTTAATGATTTATCTAAATTAGGTTTTTCATTTTTGAGATGTTCAAGAATTAAAATATAATAAATTATAAGTGGGATAAATTTCCTCACAAGCTATATTTGTAGTTTCATAATGGTGCTAATAAAATAGCCTTATAAAATCTTCCCATACCTCCTGTATGTTAGTAATATATTATATTACAGTGGCGTAGCTAGGAATTTTCCTTAGAGGGGGTCCATATATAAAAGCCTGGGGGCTTCGCCCCCCAGACCCCCTTTTACGGGCCTTCGGCCCTTTTGCCCGGCCTTCGGCCGGGTTTATCTTAAAAATCATATTGGTTTTTCTTATAATATAAAAGTCCTAGATTTATTAATTATTTTAATTAGTGTTGTTAAACGGCTCGACTTGAGCTGATTTTTATAAACAGCTAACTCAATATTTTTGCCAAAAAATATTGTTCAAGCCTAGAGATTTCTCGAATAATATAAAACTTGTATCTCCATGAGCAAAATTTTCTGGCTAATATATTGAGTTAGCCATATCGGCTAAAATTGAGCCACTAATTTTAATTAAAATAACACATTGACACAATTTTATTGATATACGTTTCATTTTATTATACTTTTAGAAGTTATTTACAAATAAAAAGCGATTATTTAAAATATAAATATTATATTGATTTAATTATAAATATTATATTGCTTTAATTATAAATATTATATTGCTTTAATTATAAATATTATATTGCTTTAATTATAAATATTATATTGCCTTAATTATAAATATTAGTATTACACATATAAATTGCTTTAATTATAAATATTATATTGCCTTAATTATAAATGATATATTTTATAATTAGTAAACACATTAAAACTATAGATTAAAAAATAAATGTTTTTTTTAAACTGTAAATTTAAGTCGATATCCTTCAAAGTGAAAAAATCAAAATTGTGTTGGCAATATTTTTTTACCAATATATGATAGATGTTTAAAATTAATATTGAGAAACCTAGGCTAATAATCATAGATGACATGTTAGCTTTGGAACCAACTTTTGATTATTATAAGTATAAAGTAATAGACTATATCACTTGTAGTAGGTGATGGTTCTAAATGATCTAGTATAATTGGTTGTCTATATCCTTTAGTTTTCTGGAGTATGTGGGAATTGCTAAGATTTTAAATAAATATAATTTAAATAAGACTAATACCTGACATGAGTGGAACTTCATTTCCATTTAAATTCTCCCTAGATTTTTTATATATCTAAAATTTTAATGTAAATATTAATAAGTAATTGATTACATTACATTTATTAGATAGTGATTTGTTGTGACTTAGTGTATTTTTTTGTTTGTTATCACTATTTTTTTTACCCCTTGGTGTGAATATTAATTGAGATATTCCTATAAAAATAAATTAAAATAAAACAACATATTAGATAACCTTTAAATTCTAAATTGATACAGCCTATAATATTTTGTTGACTACTATCATTCTTCTTCAATGTGATACTTGATATACCAAAAATTATGATATAAATATTTAAAGGTAATAGTTAACATTACTTTTACTAGGTAGAGATTTATCATAATTTTTTATAGAGTATCTAGGTATTTCTAAAATTTAAATGAATACATTTAAATAAGGTCATATAAGTTCATAAAATACCTGAGGTGAGTGGTAAATTGTTGCTTATGGTATCAAGTTCATCATTAAAATTCTGATTTTCTATATTAATTGGTGATTCATTTAAATAAGGTCATTATAAAATACCTGATGTGGGTGGTAAATTGTTGCTTATGGTATCAAGTTCATCATTAAAATTTTGATTTTCTATATTAATTAGTGATTCATTTAAATAAGGTCATTATAAAATACCTGATGTGGGTGGTAAATTGTTGCTTATGATATCAAGTTCATCATTAAAATTTTGATTTTCTATATTAATTAGTGATTTGGTATGTTCATTTTGTTGACTATCATCATTTTTATTAAATGTAATACTTGATATATCTAAATCTATAATAAAAAATATTTAAATCTTAATAGATTATATTACTTGTACTAGGTAGTGATTTTATATGGTCTTTGGGTATATAAATGAGTGTATCAAGATCATTTTCTTCCCTCCTACGTTTGGGTATATCTTATAAATGTCAAAATATTTTGGTTAGCCAAAATTATTTAAAATAATAAATTACCCAAAGTGGTTTGTACTGGCAATTTTAATTTAGTTAAAACTATGACTAGGTGTTTAATTTTAAATTCTAAAATAAAAATAGTTAGCTATTAATTTTAAATATCTTTTATATTAAATGTTATTTTGACCTGGTGTATTTACATCATCCTTATTATTTTCAATAGAGCCTATAATGCATAAGATATTAATTAGTACACTGGATTAAATATTTTTTAACCTCGTGTATTTATATCATGCTTATCATTTTCATCAGGGCATAAATTGCATGAGATATTAGCTGGTAAATTTTTTTTGTTACTTAGTAAATATTTTCTAATGTCCATTTCCTTCAATCTTAAAGTTCGTAAATAGGAAATAACAATCTTTACTTTTTAGTCATAAATTTAATCTCTTTAATAATTTCATTTATAAAAATGCTACAAAATATAAACCAAATATATATTATTAGAAATAAAAGCAGAGAAAGTAGATTATGCACTATTTTCATATTATTATTTTCGAACCATATCTTCGATAAATTATAATAAATATTTTTTTAAATATGCATAAATAATATATTATTATATTTTATTAGATTATTATCAATGACTTTAAAATAATATACAGAATAATTTATATATATATATAAGTAATAATATCCTTCCACAAACATCAAAACCAGAAAAATATAAATATTCATGGTATTTATTTGATATAAAGTCACTTTTGAGTCTTTTGAACGAATAATCTAAAAAAATTGCTCTGAGGGGGGGGGGGGGGTAGATTATGCACTTTTTTATTTCATATTATTATTTTCGAACCATATCTTGGATAATTTATAATAAATATTTTTTTAAATATGCATAAATAATATATTATTATAATTTATTAGATTATTATCAATGACTTTAAAATAATATACAGAATAATTTATATATATATAAAAGTAATAATATCCTTCCACAAACATCAAAACCAGAAAAATATAAATATTCATGGTATTTATTTGATATAAAGTCACTTTTGAGTCTTTTGAACGAATAATCTAAAAAAATTGCTCTGAGGGGGGGGGGTAGATTATGCACTTTTTTATTTCATATTATTATTATCGAACCATATCTTGGATAATTTATAATAAATATTTTTTTAAAAATGCATCAATAATATATTATTAAAATTAATAGATTATTATCAATGACTTTAAAATAATATACAGAATAATTTATATATATATTTAAAATTAAAAGTAATAATATCCTTCCACAAACATCAAAACCAGAAAAATATAAATATTCATGGTATTTATTTGATATAAAGTCACTTTTGAGTCTTTTAAACGAATATTCTAAAAAAAAAAAAATTAATTGCTCTGGGGGGGGGTCCAAACCCGAAAACCCCCCCCCGTAGCTACGCCACTGTTATATTATTTCTAATTATAAAATTAAGGTTTATCAATATTCGTTTTTCTTGAGTTTTAATATTTATTATCACCAGGGATGCGAATTCGGGTTCTGTTTAAAATAAAATAAAAATAGGTGGGTTCGGTTCAGGGAAATATTTTTGAACCTGGGTTTGGTTCCGGTCAGTCCAGGTTTAAGAATTTTTGAATTGATTAAAAAAAAATTCTATATTTAAATCATAATTAAAAAACTAGATATTAATTTGGCATAAAAAATAATTTTTTATTTTATTATAGGCAAAATATAGTTAAAAATACAAAGCATAGTCATGTATCAATTTTTAAAATTTAATGACATATTTCCTTAAATTAACAATATCCAATATAATAATTTTACTTTGACTTGTTCACTTTCATTTTCCTCTTAATAATCATTGAGAATAAGTTAAAAATTAAAATAAATGGCGTAAATGAATTTAATTGTTTAAAATTTATTATTACTCCAATAGGAATCTTTGAGAATAAATTAAATAAGTTTTAAAAATGGCGTATATGAATTAAGTTGTTATAAAATCTCAATTAAATTACAAATATTTTATTTTAAACAATACACTGAAGCCGGTTAAACCTGGATTCAAATAAAATTCACAGTTTCGATTCGGGATTTTAAAAATTTTATAAACGGGGTTCAGGTTCGGTTTGGGTTCAAATTTTTTCCCCAAAACCCCGGGTTTTTTCTCCGGGTTCGGTTCGAATCCCTGTTTATCACTATTGGTTTTAACAATAATCACCTTTCAATCATTTTATAGGTGCTATTCCACCTTATTTCTATCTAATTTAGGTTTTAGATAATTTATGATAGGGTGTAGTGAACTTGATATATTTTTTAATAAATTAATTTTTTGGGATATTTTCGAATCATTCTGATAATATTTTTAAATTTGAAATAAAAGGATTTAAAATTTCTTTAGAAATTAAATTTATTACATGATCATAACATTGAATTTGTCCTATTTTTATTAATGGGTATTTTAAAGTGAATAAAGTTATTAGTAACAATATCTAATGTTGTTGTAAAATTTTTGACCTATAAATTAAAATATTAATTATTTTGACAAATGCTTTAAAAATATTTTCTCCTGAATGAGATTCTTTTATTTGAAGAACATCTAAAACCAAATTAAATATAAAATTATCATCAATAAATTAGCTTAGAAAAGGAACCTCTTTCCGGCTAGTCCAAATATCAGATGGAAAATTAATCTGATTGCAAATGTAATAAACATGTGCAATTGCAATTTAAGAGTGCTGGAGCATATTGATTTTACAGATGATTCAATATTTATAAAATCTTTAGACTCTTTTGTAATTACAGTTTTGAATCTTATTATTAATAAAGAGCCTTACGAAGTTATCTTTAAAATAAGTTTTTTATATAAGGAATTTGATGATGTAGACCTTAAAAACATATTTATGTTAGTTTTATCACCTTACTGATATAATAGCGAATAAGACACCAGGGCACTGATTTTTTTAAAATTTTCTTTTATTGTATTTTAGCATTAATTCAATACAAAAAATTTTTTTAAGTGAAGAGATAAATATAGAAATTTTTTAAAATCTAAGGAAAAAACAATGAATCCACTTTTTTTCCTTTTTTTTAAAATCTAAGGAAAAAACAATGAATCCACCTTTTTTCCTTTTTTTTATAAAATAATAAAACATTATTATGCATATAAAAAAATCCCCAAAATCAATACATAATTACAAAACACCAATATATGCATATCCCACTATATCAGTTAGTATAACTTTTTTTTACCAAGGTTTGAATGAGACCTATTGTAATGATTTATTAAAGGAGATCTTATTTTTACTTGAATGATATCAAGTCCCCTTTTCACTATCTGTATTAAATTAATATAGATTCTTACCCAATATAGATTCTTACCCATCCTTTTTGTGAGGCAATTTATCAACTTTATCACCAACATCCAGCTCAATTAATTCATCATAATCATTCTCCTCCATATCAATTATGCTAGCTTTTTAACAAAAATTTGTTTAAAAAAATTAATTTTATTTCTTTATCTTTGGTTTTGTTTGATTTGTAATAATGATTTTCAATATAATTTGTTATGAAATTCAAAAAATGCTGGTAATATAAGAAATATCCTCTATTCCTTGAAGGTTAAATTAGAGCTCGTTATCAATAGAAATGAAAAAATTAATCATTATTCTGAATCGAATAACTGTTCATTCATATTCGAACAAAACGAATAATTTATTCATATTTGTCATTATTCTATTCGTTTTTGTATAGGCCTAATATAATATATATGCTTGGTCAATGTGTTTTTTTTCCGTAATTGCATTATTTTTTCCTTTAAATCATGTTTTGAGTGTGTTTTTAAAATTTAAATATCTGATTTTACCGGGAGTATATTCCATTATGTTTGAAATATCTACCCTATGAATTTCAGACAATATTTCCATGAACTCTCAAACTTAATTTAATTTATATTAGATTTTCCATATATTTTTTTATATAAATTATAAATGACTCAAAGGTTAACAGAAAAATTGTCTACCATTCATAAATCAGGTATTTTAAACAATATTTCTGGCAAAATTCGATTTTTAAATTTAAAAAGACGCTTTCAAAAAATGATTTTTGCCGGATAAAAACAATTTGGCGCTAACATATACATACATATAATATCTATAAGATATTGATATTTGTCATTCATGGGCATAATCTTAATGAGTCAAATAAACTTTGCCTCTGACAGTGGCCTGGCCCGCTTAAATTTTCTATCGAGTTTTTGGACCCAACCCTTAATTATTTTAACCCCACCTGGCCTATAAAATATATTTGTACAAGTTCTCCGACCCGATCTATAATAATTTTTTATTAGAGAAAAAATATAAATTTTCTTAATTATTCTTTTTTTTAATCGGCTCGGCCGATAAAAATATTTTGAACAGTTTGTCCACCCCGAAGTAAAGATATTTATAATATCAAATAGTTTAATGTTTTTCATAAGACTTCGTCCAAAACTTATTTTAAAGCCTTTAAGGATATCTAAGGTTAAAATTATGAAAAAGTCTTATCAGCATTATGTTTTTCGTTTATTAAGTTTTCGAATTAAATTTGTTTTCTACGCAGGATAAAGAAAAAGAGTATTTTTGTTTCATTTTTAAAAAATAGACATGTTCGAATTTTCTATAAAACCTGGGTCATTCCACGTCAAATCAACCAAAAAACTAAATTTTTGGACGACCATCTTTAAAATGAAAGAAATTTGGCATGATAGTTATCTATTTTATATAATTAAATTCAAAATTTTAGAGTGCTAGCTCAACCAAATCCAAATATATAAGCCTTCAAAGTCGAAAATCGCGCAATGCCTGATTTCATTAAATCTTGTTTTTTTTAAAATACTTAAGATTATCATTTTATACCCTTAAAATTTTACATTGGAAAATATCGAAAATAAATTAAAAAATTCCGTGTTTCTTATTTCCGGTAAAAATAAACACTGTTAGGAAGCGATTTTTTGGGGTGTTGATATTCTCTTAAAATGTTTATTACCTTTATATTAAACGATTTAATAAAAAATCTCGATAGTTATTTTTGTTTTTTCATTTTATTTGAATTTTTATTATTTATTTATATAAATAAAAAAAATAATATAGATGACGTTATATTCAAAACTTATTATAATATAATATTTTTAATAGTGTTGTTAAACTGCTCATTTTGAGCCGATTTTTAAATACGGCTAACTCAATATTTTATTTAGAAAAATATTATGCAAGCCTAAAGATTTTGCTCATTGATGGCATATAGGATTGAACTCTATTGGCGAAATCTCGATGCTTAGGCAATATTTTTCTGGCTATAATGTTGAGTTAACCGTTTTTAAAAATCGGCTCAAATCGAGCCGTTTAACAACACTAATTTTTAATAAAAATATGATTTGTATTGGTGGGATTAAAATTAAAAAATCAATAAGTATAATCAATACGATGTCCTAGGGCGATATGTACGCAGATACAGATATGATCATTAATAGGACGTTATATAAATATATTTTAAAATTTTATATTCAAACTATTATAGAAACATATCTCTTATTTTATTTCATTTTGCGCTTATTAATAGAAATTCCTGAGGCCTGAATGGCATTTTCCACATCCGATGGAAAAAATCTATGTGACGGCCTTGACGGAACATTAAAAAAATTATCATCATTCAAGCCTTTAGCGCACCAGTTCTGGACACATTTTAACACCAGTTGATATATATCCGTTTGCATAATAAAACATGTCATCAGTAAATTTTACATATAGAACCAACGAATAATACAATTTATAAGAGATTAAAAAGATTCAATTTAGCTTGCCCCATTCCAGGAACCCAGGAAATACATGCTGTATTTCCTTTGAGTTAAAGTAAACTTAAATCAAAAATATATTCATATGAATAGGACTTTCAAATTAACAATATCTCAAATTCGAATAATTTCTCTTTTGCTGATATTGAAGGATTCGTAACATGTGTTTATGACTCTTTTTGGTGGTTAGCCACAGTTCTAAAAAAGAATGGAATTACAGAGGAGATATATATTTTCGTTTTACACCACATGAACCATCACCATCCTTCTTTTCTCCTAATTGAGGAAAAGATTTGGTTGCCCATTAATCAAATAATAACGATTATAGATCAATTAACAGTGACAGGATGTACCTACAATTTATCGCCTCAGCGCTAAATGAGATTAGATTAAAACAAGTTGTTTTTTTATAATTGTTATTAAAAATTTTAAAATAAGTTTATTTTAAAATATAGCGTCCTAATAACCATATCCGTAAGGGCTGCTTCCTTACTTATTGTTCCATGATATCATATTAATTATAATTAATAGATTTTTTTAATTTTTATACTAATATAATATATATTTTTATTAAATATATTATATAAATAAAATATTTTAATATAACGCCATCTATATTATCTTTATTTATTTATAAAATTTCAAATAAAATTAAAAAAACAAAAATGGCTATCGAGGTTTTTTATTAAATAGTTTAATATAAATGTAATAAACATTTTTAGAGAATATTAACACCCAAAAAATCCCTTCCTAACATTGTTAATTTTTTATTTTTACCGGAAATACGAAAACACTTGAAATTTTTTAATTTTTTTTTTCAAATGTAAAAATTTAAGGGCTATAAAATGATATATTATTTGTAACTATCTAAGTATTTTTTTTTAAAAAAAAAGATTTAATAAAATCACGCATGGCGCGATTTTCTACTTTAATATCTGTGGATCTGGTGGAGTTAGCTCTCTAAAATTTGGATTTTATTAACATTTAAACATTCATTTTTGAGATGGTCAGTCTAATCATTGGTCGACCTAGTTTACACCATTCTAATTTTATTATTAAATTCACACGGTATTTAAATATATTTTTATTGATTTAATTTATATTCTACTTATAAGAGTTAATAAATATTTTTATAAGATTCAGATACCAGTAAAAAATATTGGATCTGGTGCATCTCTATTTTTAAACCTATATTTTAATTAGTAAGACGTCAATTTATTATTGAAATTTACTAAATCGAATTTGGACGCATAATATATTAATACGGGAATCTTTTTTTTTGGAAAATATTTTTGTTTAAGCTCGCCCTAATTATTAAAATGAAAAGGGATTTTTTATTGTCTAAAACAAAATAACGATTGTGATTATGTTTGTATTGAAATATTTATAATGCATGAATAGACATAATTTTTAGATTTTTAAACACTTCTTCCGCTTTATGATATATTATTAAGAAAAATGTAAATGTCTGCTTTCTCACTTTTCCATCGTAAAAGCTAGAATTTACAAATTTTTATTTATAATATTTTAGAATATGAAACAAAAACGCCAGTGGTTAAACTTTATCTCGCTCCTCAACTTTTTGACTAACAATGCACAAGTTATCTTTAGAAGATCTTACTAATACTCTCAAAATACTTATATATGATTTTATTGCAATATTTATATTTATGCAAATTTTTAAAAAAAATATTTTTATATTAGAGCGATTAGTAAATTAATTTATTGAAAATTATATATTTATATTAGAAAATTATAGCTGCAATATTTTCATTCTTATAAATTTTAAAAAAATAATAATAATTAATAAAGTTTTTTTTTACAAATTGTCGTAATATTTTAAACTTAAAAAAACACATATACGTTTAATTCATTCGCATAATTATAGCATTGTGTTCTTTCATGATATCACTTAATTTTTCTGCGAGACTACTATCAGTAAACGATAATTCATCTTTATCGATATTTTGTCGCCAAGCTTGAAGACCCACATCTTTAACAATCGTTTCATTAAACTTCATAAAATCAACGCAAATTTTTTTATCCTTGTCTTTTATATACATATTTTGAAATCGATTGCCCCACAATATATCAGCTTTTATATGTATTTATTATATTAATAAACAATATATTATTTTCTTTTATTATACTTGGGTAATAGGATTTATAGATTTGGATTGGTATACCAGTTGGTTTGGCATAACCACTAACCATGAACAGAATTTGAAAGTTTTCATCTATAATATAGTCTTCATTGATTGCAAGATCATACAATGGTGATTTTGAATTTATATGATGCAAAATAATTTGGGGAACTGAAAGATTAATGTTTTCACAGTTTTCTTTTCCTTCCCATGTATGAATATTTAGGAAGTATGGATTAAAGGGTATTACTTCTCCTTCGTGGGTTATTTTTTCACGATATAATACTGCTGTTATTGATACATTAGTTAAATGGATTTGATTAGTTTCTGCAATTCTAGCCATCAAATACAAAACTCCGTTTCTTTGATTGACCACACAACGATCGCTAAAAATAATACATTTTTCTCTCTTCCTGGGGTAGCAAAACTTTATAAATAATATTCCCGTTGTCAAACATTCGACGATTACACCCGCGATACATTGCAACATTAAAAGTATAACACCCACTCTACATTTGTCATTTAAATATCTAAAACCATAACCAATTGTATGTTGAGTTTCTATTGAAAATAGAAAAATGGAATAGAAGTCTCTGATATCCATTAAGCATCTTTGAGCTGGATCATTAAGATAACTGAAATCGCCATTAGCATATGATAAGAACCACCACAATATAGCGAAAATAGTCCATGATATGAGATATGCCAATATAAGTAAAACAAACACCCAAATCGTATCGAGCTGCATCAGAGTATCCAGATAGTTTAAATATCTAGGAAATATGGACTCATTTTTTTGAGGGAAATGTGTTACATTGGTGTGTATATCCTTATATGACTTATCAAAAATATTGGCTTTATTGATTAGATTTTTTATCTTAACAAATGACATTTTAAGTAGAATATTAAGTTTTAAATGGTTTTTTAAAATATTTTATACCCTAGACTAAATTATCGAAAATAGAATAGTTCCATTTATATAACAAAAATAATTCAAATGTTTAAACTATTAAAATAGGGTGATTAACGATTACCCGAAAAATAAGCAAACACCCATTTTAATAATAAAATAAAGCCGAGCCTTATCACGTTTTGAAATCTTAATCAATCTAAATTGCTTAGTTTTTTTATGAATTTTGATATTTTATTTAATATATCAAACTTAATATTTTTTTTAGAATTTAATCGAGTCGTTTTTAGAAAATTGAAATATAAAATTCTAAAATTTGGCAAAAAATATAAAACTCATTTTTTTTAATACGGGCTAGATGCTCATTTTGTAGAACTTTAACTGGATGCTCCCCCTTTTTTTAAAACGTAATTATAAATTATATTACAAGATATTTATGTTATATTATTATAAAAGACTTTTTAATAAATTAAAAATTTTATTAAGGGAGGATCTCTACTGATAAAACAATGTATTTTTAACTCGCAAATATATCAATTCATTTGAAATATTTTCACCATGGTGTCAAAGCTTTATTGGTCGATTAAATATTATCTTTATGCAATACAACGTTCCCTACTTCGCGCATTATTCACAAAGGCATTTTTGTCTACGAATTACTCACGATTTATAAAATCTGCTCACCACTAAACTCTTAATTTTGGATCTTTGGATAAATTTTAAAGAAAAATTCATGAAGTGTGTGTCTTCCTTTCGCAAGAAGATCATTTTGGCTTTCGATTAGTGGAGGAATAGATTGTTAGTTATTCACAAGAGAGAAGGGGACCGATTCAGCATATATTTTTGTACTTTGATAATTTTATTGTTAAATAAAGATTAATTTATGTTATAATTTAATGATTATGCAAAAATTTGTAAAAAAGGCGGTCTGGCTATAGAATGGGAACTGGATCTTTGCCGATATAAATATAAAATCGGGTCAATATTTAAATAAAACTATATACGACATTATCATTGTTTGGGATTTTATGATTAAACATAATTATTTCATTTTATACAATTTCCTATTAAAAAATGAATAAAAATCAAAATTCAATTTATTTGTAATAATAATGTTCAGAAAAAATTCTAATTATAAAATAAAAATACTTTAATATGATATATTTTTTCCTTTTTATCTACAAAAAAGGATTTTGAAATATTTAATGAATCACAAATCAGTAGTACTGTAAACGTTACTTCAAGGACGAGCTACTTGTTACCTTGTGAAAAGGGAACGCGCGTTACTAGCTATTCAGAAAATAACATGTTCCTCGCTTAAAAAATTTAATATTTAAAAAATTTCCTATATATATAATATAAATAGAATTATATAAAAATAATATATTCTAATATGAGATCTATTTATAATAATTTTTTTAACATGAATAAAATGATATATAGTTAAAATAGGATATTTTTAATGATAATTTTTTAAATTTATTTTCAAAAATTTGATCAAATAAACAAGAGAGTGCTCAGCACATCTTTCGCCGTGCTAAATACATGTTCAACTGGCAAAGGGGGAGGGTTGTATTATATTTATATATAAATAAATTTAATGGGAATTCATTAAAAATTAAAGAATAATAAGCTTAGGATGGAAAATCCTATGAGGGAAATAAGGATTCAGTATTTGTCTAATCCTTATTTTAAAGAAAGCTTATAGATCATCTTCAAAAAATCTTCATTCAGATTCCCATCAAAATTTTTTTTATCTTTATCAGAAAATAATCTGGTATATATGTTTTTTTAAAGGAATCAAGTCTGCGTTTACCTATAATTTTATCTAGGGCTAATCTAATTTAAGTGGCCGGTGAATTATTGCTGATAGTATATATTCATCTTTATAGATGTGTTCGAATCTATTGAAAATAAATATAGTCAAAATATAAATTGTAAACAATATTTCAATTAAATTTTTTATCAATGTTGGATATAAGTGACTCAAAACTTGAAATTATTTAAAGCAATTTTTTAAAGTTTTAATATTAAGAGTGAATATCCCAAATGTTCTAAAATCGAAAGAGACATACCAACAGGTTCCATACAATATATATATGGACTTGTCATTATCTGAAACTCTTTGCAATTTGGATTTATCTCAAGATTCGTCTAATTGGTTCATCTCCTTAATAAGACTGCTAATTTCACGGAGTTATAAAAAGAGTCCCATCTTGTTATAACCGTTTAATCAGATATCTTCTCATTTTTCCCATTAAAACGGTTTTACAGTTTCGAGACTGCCCATGTTTAATTCACAATTGAAATATTTAGTTAGGACACAATTTTGTGTAGACTTTGTACCCTTAATTTTTTATTGGTATAAAAAAATGATTTTTATTGGGACAAGGACAGGTAAAATCATCTTTATCTGAAGAAATATGTACAATCTGAGTATTCTTTATAAAATAAATTTTAATATTAGAGAATAAGAATAAATTAACATCTTGATTGATTCAATATTAATTAGATCAAAAATCTTGACTAAAAATTTAACAATGAAAAATAAAAATAAAAGAAATTGGTGGTTGATCTGACTTAAAAACTCGGCTTAAATGATAAAATTTAAAAAATAAATGAAAATAATTTTATAATATACAATAAAATATGTTTTTCCCATATTTTTCTAGAAAAAATTTAGAGTAACATTTTGCATTATAGTCTCAGAAAAAAAACGCGTTATTACTTTAGCTCTTAATATTTCTCAAACTTGTTTCTTAGTTTTAATATTTATTAATCTTAGTATTTTTTTATTAGATACGGTATTTAGAATCTAAATATCAAAAACTATTTTATTTTCAAAAATATAATAATTTTCGAATAATATAAAAATACAATGGTTTTTTTATTAATTTAGAAAATGCAATAATCATTTTTTATTAATATAAATGTTAGCGTCGATGTGTTTTTATGTGTTATATTTTCAAATTTATGTCATTTTTTGGACTCGTTTTTTTTAATTTAAGAATCGAATATTACCGGAAATGTTTTCCAGCATGTTTAGAATATCTATTTTATGAATTTTAGATAACTTTGCCGTTAACCCATTAGTGATTTATAATTTACTACCTGATATCCCGTCAAGAATTACAGGGAATAACACATTTATTTATCCTTTATATAATTATGGATGTCAGTAATCAGTTTATCTTATGAGTTGTGAACTGAGTTGCCAGATCCCCCCCCCCCCAACAGCGGGAGACTCCCGTAATTTTTAGTTAACATGCAGACATCTCATTCCCTCAAAACTACCACAATTGGAAATCTACTGCAATTTTTAAATTTTTCCCTCACAAATTTTTTAGCATTTCAAACGTATTTTATATATAAATAATAATTTTGAGAATCAGTAATTGAATATTTTTAAAATAAATTTTAAATATTTATTCAAAAAAAATGTCTAGTTTGTATATATCCTTACCTTAATCATATGTTTTATTTTTATCCAATAATAAATCAACATCATTCATTCATATTTTAACATTTTAATGTGTGTTTGTATATAACATAGGGATAGGCGCTTAAATATCACGTTTAAATTCTTTTATATAAAATATAAATAAAATAACTCCAAGACAAAGAAATAGAAATTAAAACTAAGTATAAAATACCAACTATTTTGAAAAATATTACCTATTTTGAAATTATAAAACATTACCAACTTTGTTACTATGTAT